AGTACAGGCCCTTCGGCCCACGATGTTGTGCTGAACTTTTACCTAATCCTAAGGTCTATCTAACCTCCACCCCTACCTTATACTATCATCCATATGCCACTTAAATGCCCCTAATTAGGCCAACTCCACTACCTGCATTCCACGTTCCGACCACTCTCTGAGTAAAGAACCTACCTCTGATGTCTCCCCTGTATCTACCTCCACTCACTTTAAAACTATGCCCCCTCGTAATAGCTACCTCCACCCTAGGAAAAAGTCTCTGGTTGTCTACTCTCTCTATACCTCTGATCATTTTGTACACATCTATCAAGTCACCTCTCATTCTTCATCGTTCTAAAGAGAAAAGCCCTACCTCTCTCAACCTTTCCTCGTAAGACCTTCCCTCCATTCCAGGCAACATCCTGGTAAATCTCCTCTGCATCTTTTCCAACGCTTCCACATCTTTCCTGTAATGAGGCAACCAGAACTGGACACAATACTCCAGATGTGGCCGAACCAGGGTTTTGTATAGCTGGAACATAACTTCACAGCTCTTGAACTCGATCCCTCTATTAATGAAAGCTAACACACCACACGCCTTCTTAACAACTCTATCCACCTGGGTGGCATCTTTCAGGGAACTGTGGACATGAACCCCAAGATCCCTCTGCTCCTCCATACTGCCAAGAATCTTTCTGTTAACCCTGTATTCTGCTTTCAAGTTTTTCCTTCCTAAATGAAACACCTCACACTTTCAGGGTTAAACTCCATCTGCCACTTCTCAGCCCAGCTCCGCATCTTATCAATGTCCCTTTGTAACCTAGAACAGCCCTCTGCACTGTCCACAACGCAACCTACCTTCGTACCATCTGCGAACTTACTAATCCACCCTTCCACTCCTTCATCCAAATCATTTACAAAAATCACAAACAGAAGACGACCCAGAACAGATCCTTGTGGTACACCACTCGTAACTGAGCACCATGTTGAATATTTTCAGTCCAGTACCACCCTTTGTCTTCTAAGGGTCAGCCAATTCTGAATCCAATCTGCCACATTTCCCCCTATCCCATTCCTCCTTACCTTCTGCAAGAGCCTACCAAGGGGAACCTTATCAAATGCCTTACTTAAATCCATGTATACCATTAGTGCATCTTCCTTAAACCATTTCAAACTGCTCCAAACATCTGCGAACAAAGTTACTTCATTTGCAGAGATATCACCTGACCATGAAATACAAGCAAGGGAAACAGATGTACATGTTTTCAAAAGCAGAACTCCTTATGAAGAAAGTTGATGATGTGAAGACAGAGTGTGAAATCTTCCAGGCCCAATGAAAAGAAATAGCTTGACATGCTTTGGACATTATCAACCCAGCAGAGACATTGAATCCAAGAGACAAATGTTTTGCTCAAATCAAGAAGTCTTTGCCACAAAATGCAACTCTCCAAGTGCTGAAGAAGGAATTGATAAAAGAATGGCTTGAAAGTACCAAGGAGAGTGTTGGACATATAGAGATGAACTCATAGACCAGGGTGGGATCCTATACATAGGAAATAAAGTCATTGTCCTGAGATCCTGAAGGTTATCAATGCAAGCCAAGGCAAGTACTGACTCCATCCCTGCCCACCTCCTACCTACCAGCCTCATGCCCGCCTCCTTGACCTGTCCATCTTCCCTTGACTGACCAACCCCCATCCTAACACCCAACCTACACCCAGCTTTACTGACTCCATCTCTACCTCCTTGACCTGTCTGTCTCCTTTCCACCTATCTACTCCTTTATTCATCTTCCATCTGCCTCCCCCTCTCTCTCTATTTATTTCAGAATCCCCTTCCCCTCCCCCATTTCTGAAGAAGCGTCCAGACCCGAAACGTCAGCTTTCCTGCTCCTCTGATGCTGCTTGGCCTGCTGTGTTCATCCAGTTCCACACCTTGCTATCTCAAGCACTCTACTGATCAAACTTAAGCATTGACATTAAGGACCACAATAGCCACTGCACTGAGTGTAATTAATACAAATTAAGCAAACTAAAGAGCCACTCAGGATGCACAACACCCAGACAGACCATGGATGAAGCTTAGCGAGGATCTTTTAACACTCGCATGAACTGATTATCTTGTCACTATCAAGTATTATTCTGACTGATGGGAATTAGACCTGCTACTAGTGAGACTGTAGAATGCCTGAAAGCATACTTCAGTTGTTATGGCATTCCAGACACGGTGGTGAGTCATAATGGGCCTCAATTCACAAATGCAGAATTCAGGCACTTGTAAAGGAATATGAAATTGAACACCACACATAAACTCAGTACTCTCCCCAGTTAAATAGAAAGATTGAGGCAGTACTAAAGATCAGAAAAGAAATAAAGGAAACAGATAATAGACTTCACAAAGCAATCCTAAAGTGGAGATATACACCTACTGAAGGCATGAAAAGTAGTCCAGTCTAATGAAGAATGACATTCCAAGCAAACTACTCTTCCAATAGTTAGAAATATTACTGAAGTCAGAAGTAATAATAGGAGAGAGTGACAAAATCAAGGTGACAATGACAAAAAAACCAAAGTTGACTGCTGAAACTGCCAAATTATTGCTGAGCTTGAATGCTACAAACATTCAATATTCCGTACAAAAGTAAGCTGATGAGAAAACTTGTTTAGAAGAGCAGCTGTGTGTAAGTGAATGAGACAACATATTATCATAACTGTAGACATGTATGTAAAACTAGAGAAGCTGTTTCTTCACTGCTGGCCGCTGATCAGGGAGATATGACCTTTCTTCATTTGCACTGAGTCCAGTTTCAGAGCTCCATCAACACCAGCAAGAAAACTGTATTAGGTACAACAGCCTACCATGGCTACAACAGTGCCATAAGAACAAGAGTCCTCTCAGGTGGATCTTCATCTGAGGAACAGGCTGATATCAGATGAACAGCCCAAGACAATTTAAAGATTATGCGTACAGTGCATGTGGAGAGACTTATGAAAGTGAGGTTGATTGGAATTAAATCACAGTTTTAAGAACAAATGATTATTTTCTTTGACCATGGATATTTAGATATTAGATAAATTGGTTAACTTGTAGCTGCAAATGATAATGCATGCATTTTTTTAATGAAAAGAGGAATACTTGGAGAAATGCATTTGAACACAGTGAACTGGGTGGCTTGCTGTAGTCATGTGATATCTGCAGTCAGTGCTTACACTTTAGTTTGTGGCAACCATTAAACAAATTGCTTGAAATAGACACAGATGACTCATCACAAGCAACAGGATCTCACACTCAGCAGCCTGGTCTCATCTCAGCTGCTGATGTCAAGTTCCTGTCAAGCTAACATGGTAAGAAAAGAATTAAGAAATTATGAGAACATGAATCTGACATGGGTGTTTTACAAAATTCATTTTGTACATGTAAATATTGCACAATATACTGTTTCCACTTTGTTTATAAATGCATCACAATTCTTTACAGGCACCCTAAATGGTCATAGACCAATCTATACTGGCATGCCTCATGCTTGGCACTCATTGATAAATGCATGTGAATGTTAGACTGTAGAAGACTACGTTGTTGCATGATTATGATTAGTCTTTATTTAATGCTATTGTGTGCATATCCATTTAGACAGTTGTCAGTCTGTGGAACATTGAAGAACATGTTAGTTTTGCAGACACTTTATTCTATGTAGTGTCAAGCGTTTTAGATTTAAGATTTCAACAAGAGATGCAGGGGGGAATGTGAAGAAGAACTTTCTAATGCGGCAAGTGGTACTAGCCTGAAACTCTCTACGTTTGAGGGCGGCAGAACAGAAGTGACCAATTATTTACATAAGTGCCTAGATAACTTAATGCTGTAGGTTTGCTAACCTAGATTATGATATTTGCATTTCACCCATGAAGCACATAATCCATTGATAATTAAAAACTAAAATAGAAGGCAACCACATTTCGTTTTATAGCTCAGTGATAATTTAAATAGAATAGCTTCCTTGTAAATTAATTAGACAGATGCTATTAATTTTTGAACTGCTTTCAGAATAATTAACTTTCTGATTTAATTCTGCCTTTGGTAACACAATTATAGTACATCCAGTGACAATGCAATTTATGGTGGATCATAAAACTGGTGCCAAACTGACTATTGTCCTCAACTCAAAAGCAAAATACGTTTAAAATGTTTTTTTTCAGTTGCACAGAAAATTAGATTTTCTTTCATGGATCTTTATCTAACAATAACATTTTAAAAATTATTTCTAGGTACATACTTACATCAAATTCAATTTTGGTTCAGTTCAAACCTACACAATTTGACCAGATCACAGTAATGTTATTTCATCTCACTTGTTTTTGCATTAAAATACACAAAAAGCATAAAATGCAATAGAAAACTTTAGAAATAAACTCAGTAAAATTTCATACACAGATCACATGTTTTCAATAAATAATGATTACGTTTTAATGACTAAACAATCATGCTAGTGTGTGCAAAGGCAAACAAATCTAACATTATATGAAGCATCTTAAAAGTTCAGACTGTTATCATTTAGAATTGATAATTTTAGATCACACCACTTATGCCTTTGAAAGTTTTCATATCTCCTTAAGTAGCAGAATGTTAATTTTGGCTTCAGTCCGTTTTACCAAAAATGGAAGTAATCTATCTACAACAGGCTGCGCTCCTCAATAAGCAAATTAGCAAATGATGTGCCTGTTCTGTCCGCCATGTCTATGTCAAGTGTCAGAAGAATCAACTTTCTGAATACAATACCAAATGTCCAGGATTTTGATATTCTAGCATAAATTCTGGTTTTGCATATTTTTTTGTGCAAATCTGAAAGAGGGTAAAAGTTCCAGCTCCAGAGTCAAACAAGTTTCACAATGAAGGCAGATTAATACAATTGAGCATTTACTGTCTTTTGCCAACTTGAAAAACTATTTCAGCTTCTCTTCTTTATTGCCCCAAATGATAAATATATATTGTAGTACATAATAGTATCAATACATGAATGTACAAACCTGTAAAAAAGTGTCTACTGGTGCTCATTCTGGATGATCTCTGTACAGTACAACACAAGTGCAACAAGGCCAGCATGGTGATTATTAAGACAATGCTCTGCCAGAGGAGAGTCACTTCAAAATGTTTCCCAAACCTGCATAAATAATGAACAATATTATTAGAAATTCACATGTATCATACACCATGTTTGAAATGCATTAACATAAAAATAAGAGAATTATATATAAACATCCTAATGGTGAATTTAATTTGTCTGGATAAAACAGAATGAAGTTCCAAAGGAGACTCACACTGAACTCAAAATGTTAACCTATTTCTCTGTCCACAAATCTGTTGGGCTTCTCCAGCACCATTTATTTTTATTTCAGATTTCCCGCATCCGCAGCATTTTGCTTTAATAAAAACTGAGATTTCTGCCTTTGTTCGATTAGCTCACCTCAGGTAGGTCTGTGCTACAGTATGATAGCTAGCCACCAGATACCTTAGTATAAAAGGGGAAAGATTAACTGGGCTCTGATTTCTACTTGACAATCCCTATTTAAAGAGTGATCTCGCATCAAACAAAAGCAATCATATTCAGCCAAGATAGCAAATAGCATAATGTCAATTAAATTCCTGTTAAAGCTTGAACACTATTAATGGTCTCTTTGAGAAATATTGGAGAATATTCAACACCATGTAAACCATACTCCAGCAACGAGTCAAAACAGACAGGAAAAGAATGTCAGACCATTAAATGGTTTGTAAAACGTGGGCAACATTACAGCTTATGAGCTATTTGTTTCTATCAGCTATATCCACATTTTAAATAGAGTCATAGCTACAGGAGTCCAAAAACCAATTTTTTTAAAATCTTTCAATGACAGGTTAAAAATTAGCACTAAATTCAAGGTTGGCACTCCATTGCTGTACTAAAGGAGTGATGTACTGTGAGAGATGCTGTCTTTGGGTGTAATGTTAAATTGAGTGCCCTACCTGTCCACTTGAGTAAATAAAAATTGTCTGACGTATTTTAAAGAAAGCAGGGGAGTTATGTGATGTCCTGGTCAACGGTCAATATTTATCCTTTAATCACTGTCACAAAAATAACAGTCTGTTTGGCCATTATCACAATGTTATCTGAGTGAGTTTGCTGTGTGCATATTAGCTGACATGTTTTCTATATCGTTTCTCTGCCTGTGAAGGGCTTTGTGCTGTCTGGTGGTTATGTAAAGCCCTACATAACTACAAGTCTTTCTTTGTTTCTTTCACAACATTGCTATCCTATAACTGACAACTGCGATTTATAATGCACTTTTTTTTAGTAGAGAAAAATGTAATTGTGGAAGGCAGTAATCATTTTAAACAACATCAATTCTTGTATTTTTCACATTAGTGCAAATAAATTGTTTTATTATTACATTATTTGCAAAACAAAAAATTGGAACTAATGGTTATCAGGATGTATACATGGGGTGTCATATTTTATTTGTGCACTGCAGTCAGGTGTCAAGTAACAATCTGTCAGTTTGTCAGCTACACTCAGAGCAGAAAACTGTACACTGAATGAAGCTCCAGTAAAACATGATTATTTCTAATCTTGGGAACCAGATGACATAACATGTTGGTTATGAGTGTCTTTGAGTAAAACCCCAAACATCTTAAACAAATTTAATGCTGAATTAAAGTAAAGGCATCCAGCTCGCTTTCTAAAATCTAGTCTAGCTTGCATTTAGCATTTAACTACAATTCGCTATCACTGGCTTTTTCAGCCTTCGGAGTAAACAAACTCTCTACTCACACAGCTGCATTTAGTTCATTAGATATCTTGTTTGAACTAACTTTACTGGCTAGCAGGACTGACTCATCTTTGTAAAAGTTTGGCGAGTATAAATCCAGGCAGTTTTGCTAAACCAATGAAGTCAACAGCTTGTCACTGAGTTCAGCTGGTGTGAGCTTGGGAATTTGGTGAGTAAGGGAATTTAGTACCTCGAGAAAGGAGGCACAGTGTAAACTCGTAGGTTAAAACTAAAATAATTACGTCATAATAAGAACTAACATGTTAGCAGCTGGTAAGAGCAGCAAAACGTCAAATGGGGAGCAAGAGGAGGAGAGAGAGCAAGAGATGGAGAGAGTGAGATCTATCACAATTGTGTCTACATCGCAACTTGAATAGTGGAACATCTCAGGGAAACAGGTAAGTAATCGGTTGGGGAGTATTTAACTTGTTTTTTTTCAGAACTCCTCTAATTTCTGAGAAAATTGCAAAAAACAACAAAAAACAAAAATGACCGGTTGATTAGTCAGTGAATATGAACTGGAAGGCTCTGTGCATATACGGCTAGATTAACTCACAACCTTTAGAATTGGTGTCATAATCATGTTGGTGTAGAGAAACAGAATTTTGGTTCAAACCCTTGTACATTTACAAAGATGGTCCACAATCTCTGGTCATTCTCAGTGGCCTCAATCAGGGATGTTGATTTAATTTACTGTCTTTCATCTTAATTTCGAGGACTTTTGCTTTTCTATATGACTGCTATTTATCTGGAAATGTTCTCTTTGTAGAACTTTTCCTCTGTTTCTGTGGTGAAAAAGGTGCTGCTGCTTTGCCATATTCCTTGAGGTATCCCAGTGTCCCTTATAGGTAACATTCAGCACCACCTGCACTTGTGGTATGTCTTTGACCTATACCTTGAAGAGCCTAAAATGATCAATGAAGTTGAAACCCACTCTCGGTGTTTTTGTGGCCTTTTGAGAAAACGATGATGCCATCTTGAGGCCTACCTAACTGTGTCAGAATGATCTGCGGTGTTTTCTTGAACAGCTCTGATCAATTTTGGGCCCTGATGTCCACCCAAGTAGCATATTGGTTGCTGATTCCAATGTGAGGTTCTCCCTAGATTGAAGGAAGTCTGACAATTGTTCATTGTTGACAACTTCTATGATATGATCTCTAAGTAATCTGACATTTATAGGCTCCAGTGCTGCAATACCCTTCCAATTGGTATAAATCTGTCCAAAACACCTCAATCAATTCTTCCTGTTGCTGAGATCATTGATTGAACCTCACTCATTCCATGTGAAAATTTGTCTTTGGGCTTAAATATGTATCAAACCCCTTCATTAAAGCTTCATCTTCTGTGATACGTTCTTCAAAGCTTTGCGATACTGGAACAATGAACGATTTATTGTCACATATATTCAGGGAGATACAGTGAAAACTGTTCCATTACTATTCCAAAACTATTCTCGTTTAGCTGTTGTGCCTTGTGTGCTATAATCTGACTTCAGACCCTGGCCCTAGAGGTTTCCTTATTACCACCACACTGGACACTTCGCTTTCTCATGCCAAAGTTTAGATCACTGCCGCTGTGCATTATTTAATGATATCACTATGAGCAGTATTTTCCATAGTAATTCTAGGCTGTGGGTATTAACACATAAACTGTCAGCCTCTCTGCTCCTATGATGCTGCTTGGCCTGCTGTGTTCATCCAGCCCTGCACCTAACTGTTAGTGTTTGCTGGTTTCACTAGGTTATAACTCATCTGGGCCTTTAGCATCTCCAGTTAATCTTTATACTAGAATAAGGCTCCCTCACACTCTTCAGTACTTCAACAGTCTTTATTTATATCTTTGTACTATAGATCAGTGAATATAGCTGTCTAGCATAGTGCCTAGGACCTCTCTCTTTACATGCTTCTGTTCTCTCTAGTCTGATCACTTCCACTGATCTGCTCTGCTGCTTTCAATGAAACATCATCAGTTATATTATTACCATCTTCATATTCCATCATACTACAAATTTGACTATAGTAAAATATCTCACAGCACTTCCCAGAAGTATTATCAAACGAGTTTGGACATTGAGTCCTGTGAGGAAATGTTAAGGTGGGCTTTGCCAAAGAGATAGCTTTAAAGAAGTGTTTTAAAGGCAGAAAGAAAGTTGATCAGGTTAGAGACAAAATTCCAGAGCACTGGCAGCTGAAGATAAAGTGGTGCAGCTATTAAATTTGAGGATTCTCAAGAGGCTCAACTTTGAGGAGTGCAGGTATCTCACAGCACAGTAACATGGAAGAAATTACATAAATAGCGAGCAAGGGTCATTTCCTGCACAAAGGCTGTACTTTGTGATTTTCCTGGGAGCTACTTATTGGTTTTCAGGGGGTCATTTTTTACTCTCACGACACATTTTCCCAGTGATGAAACCATGTATTAGCAATATCTTCTGTATTTGTGTTGACATATGGGGTATTTTGACTCACACAGAAACAGAATAGAATAATTCATCAATATCTTCAATAATGAATCTTCCACTAACCTTAAAGCTACAACACAAAGCAAAGCATACTTCAACAATTACAAGTCCTTACCTTTATCAGACTGCACCATCACAGCTAATGCATTTCCATTGCATATGCACCAAGGTGGAACTTTTAAAGCAGGCAGTTGCTTCCCCATATATTGCATCTTAGATCTTAATCTCAATTTTACAAATTGACAGTCTATTCATGACAATAGCATCTACTATATTTTCCCCACATAGTAGCTCCAGAACTTAAAACTTTTCTCTCTCCTTTGCAGCCTCCCTTTCCCTCTCCTTTTGCAGCATCTTACTCCAGACTTGTAGCCCCTTCCCCCCCAACAACCTCTTCCTCCTCCCCTTGTATCCTCATACCCACTGTGTAGCCTCCTTCAATCGACCTTTGCAGTCTCCTTCTCCCTCCCTTGAAGTCTCCTTCTGATTACATTGCAGACTCCTTCTCCACCCACAGCAGCCGCTCTACCCTTGCAGACTGCTTCATCTCCCCCTTGGAGTCTACCTCTTTTGCAGACTCCTATTTCTCCCCCTTCCACAGTCTCATTCTCCAAGCAAGTTCTACCTTCCTTCTCCTGCAGCCTCCCTCTCTACCCCAGCCCGGCAGACTCGATGTTGCCCTCTGCACTTTCCTTCTTGTGAACAAATCAGCAGCAAATGTGGGTGAGAAACAGCCTGTGATGGAGAAGCAGCTACAAGGGTGACCATTCTCTAACTGGTTGCCCTCTTCAGTGATGGTTCATGGGTATTTTGGCAGCTGCAACAGGCAAACTCCAGCTCCCCCAAACACCCATGTATTTTGAGCCCTGATAAAGAAGGGTGAGGCCATAGCAGGATTTAGAAGCAAGGAAGGAAATTTTTGAAATGATAAGTTGCTTGACTTGGAGGCAATGTACATCTGCAGGCTAGGGGATGGCTGAACAGTGGGAGGATGGAGTGAGAAAGGACATGGGCAGCAGAGTTCTGGATGACCTCAGGTTTAAGAAAAGTAGAACACTCAAAGTCAGCCAGAAGTACATTGAAATAGTCCAGAGGTCACAAAAAGTACCCCCAAAATATTTAATAAAAGTAGGACTTGCGTGAATGATGAGATATAAATGCGGTACCAAAGCTTGAGTGCTCATCTTCATCCAGTGTGAATGATAGTTGGAATGTTTTTCTGGATAAGGTCAGTAAAGGGAGGAAAATCTGTGAAATTCTGAGGAATCCCTACAGTGTGTAAGTAGGCCATTTGGCCCATCAAGTCACACCAACTCTCTGGAAGGGAGCATCCCACCAGACCCACTCCATCCCTACATTTCCCATGGCTAATCCATCTAACCTACACATCCCTAGATACTAGGGCAATTTTGCATGGCCAATCCACGTAACTTGCATATCTTTGGACTATGAGAGGAAACCCATACAGACAGAGAGAAATTGTGAAAACTCCATAATGACAGTCTATGGCAGGACTGAACCCAGGTTCCTGCTGCTGTGGGGCCAAAATGCTAACCACTGAGCCAGTGCATAAGGGCTAGTGCATGACTGGTATAAATTACAACATTTAAAAGATATTTGGACAGGTACATGGATGGGAAAGTTTGAGAGGGATATTGATCAAAGACGGGCAAATGGGACTATTTCAGTTTAGGAAACCTGGTCGGCATGGACAAGTTGGGCCAAAGGGCCTGACTGCATACTGTGTGACTCTATGACTTGGTGATGTTTGTTGTTTTTCTCTCTCTCAAAAGTTAAAGTGAGCCAAATGACTTCTGGATTTGTAATTATTCCGTGATCTCCATGTTGTTACACAGGCAGTTCTGCATTCAGGTAAAACTACATGGAACACAGAGCTGCTGAATAGAAATACATCTTTGAAATTGCAAATTATTTTTAAATCAACCTGTCAGGGCATGGAATTCCACACCTTTGGTACAGGTGGAACTTGAAGCCAGACCTTCTAGCCTAGAGACAGACATGCTGTCATTACACTATCACAAGAACCTATACATTTATTGGTAATCATCTGGTACTCTTCAGGATAGGTGGGACTTGAACTTGGACCTACTAGCTTGGAGCTAGGGACATTGTCAGTGTGCCACAAGGCGCAGCAAGAAAAGCTGCGAGTAAGCGTTAGGTAAATGGGTTCAGAATCATGAGGGGAAAACTCACCAAAAGAAGAGGCGCAGGATATTGGCCACCAGCATCACTAAACACACATGGATGGAGAAGCCCTCGGCGCTGCCACTCTTTTGGATGTCGTGATATTGAGGGATGTAGGGGGCTGCACCGCCAAAGATCATCAGCAAGGAAGCCACCCAGGACAGAAGAGACCAGGCGGAATCCGAGCCCAGCTCAGAGAGGAAACTGTGGGACTCTGCCATTTGAGGCGATCAACACCCACCAAAAGAAACGAAAAGTGCTGACTTCAAGTAAAGCGCAGAGTACTTTTATGGATACAGCAAGCCACAATGACAGGACTTCGTGGATGAGCAGGAGGATACTGTCATGATAACACGTTGACTGGTGCTTCACTAAACTCCTTTTAACCCGCTGGATCAGGAAGTTTTCTGTGTTCCGACGCAGCGATCGCCCTTCTTCCTGTTCTGCAAGTTTAAGAGAGGACAATTTTTGAAACAAAACCGCAGCGTTATTGGTTAATTTTCAGTTCGCGGTGATGGGGTTTGGTTTAAAATGATCTACCAGCCCCTTTCCAACTGTGTGGCTCTTCAAAGCCGCGCTGCTTATTTTGCTGCTGCAATGATTGGGGTGGGGGGGGGGGGTGTGATTTACAAAGCCATATGTTCACCCACTGACAAGGAAACTCCACCCTGCGAAACAAACTTCAATCTCCGCCGACCTTTCCGCCAGCCGCTACGACGTTTATTGCATTATTGCATGTCCAATAAATTGCCAGGCGATGGCTTAGGCTTGACTTGGCATGCTAGGACGTATCCCGGAAATTGTTTCAACAACAAACTATCCAAAGACCGCACTTCCTGCATGTAGACATTAAATACTGCTAAACCATCCCTGCACACTTACTGTACTAAACCCCTACATATCTGCTCTCTGCAGACCGTGAAAAAGCTTTAAATCCAAAAAGGCAGCCGCCTCCTCGGGTTTTTTGGGGGGGCGGGGTGGGGAATTGGTGCTTCCACTTTCTGCTCAGCTTCGTTCAAACACAGTTTCTAAACTTGTAAAGTCTTGTCGGGCGCTATGCTAAATAGATTTGTACCACATGCAGCCTGTGCACTGGAGATCACACGTCCATTTGTCGTTTACACTTCCTCTGCAATGAATCACAAGGCGGACTTGGTGTGATGAATAGGACGCCACTTTAAGTGTTGGTACTAGCGAGCCTGTGTGTATGTGTGTGTGTGAAAAGTTTCATCGAGTCATCCTTTCGGCCCATCGAGACTGTGCCTCCCTGTCTGCACTGATCCCACTTTCAGTCACTTGACGTAGCCGTAAAGATGGTGACATTTCAGATGTAGGGTGATGGACCAGAACGGTAATCCCCCCAGCTGGTTGCATTGGGCCAAAGCGGAAAGCTACTACAGCTGCCGGAGATCCGACATTTATAAACAAAAGGGGAAATACTCCTCAGGCCAGGAAGTATCTGTGTCAACATTTCAGCTCTGTGACCCTGAAATACTGCCGGACCGGCTGAGTACTTTTCTCTCTCTCTGCTCTGTGAACTGGGACTTGCTCCTGAACTTGTCCTTGTTTGCCCCTGCGCGTTGACTCAAGTTTCACTCAGACAGTACTCAAAACCCGTGTTGGAAAACACTGTCCCCAGCCGTGTCTATTTATAAACATGATGGAGGGGGCTCCGCTCCGAAAGCTGGTGTTTTCAAATAAACCTATTGGACTATAACCTGGTATCGTGTGACCTCTGTATTTATAAACATGACCGTGTTATGCAATTGACGGGTGACTACAAGATCCGGTGTGTTGAATTTACTCTGCCGTGCTTCGGTTAATGAAATTCCCTCTTCACGGCTCGATGCTGCAGTGCACAGAGTAACGGGAACTGTCGTGGGTCACGTCCCTACCTTTAAACCAGAACTTCCACGTTCGAGTCCTATTCCCAAGGATGGAGTGTTCATAACGTGGTTAGCCCGTGGCAGGCAGAGGGAGTCTCCTGATCAATTATACATTGCCCCGCAGGCTGTAGCCTTTCTTTGGGAAAACTGTTAGGGAAACAAATACTTCATGTGTCATTAGACACGGGTCAGTTTGTAAATCTGAACAGATCTTAACACACGTGCTGTCCTTCCTAAAACGAACATTAACAGACAACTTAAACCTTTTTTTTTAAAGTCGGGAATGGTTGTCTTTAGATTTTTCAGTGGTCTCAACCCTCTCTACAAATCATTAAAACATGGAATTCTTAAGGAGTTGGTAGCGAAGAAAATCGAAGATGTGTCCCCTAGGAACAGAGGGCACGGCTCAGACTAAAGGCCCGCCAACTGAAGTCTGAGATGAGGAGGACTTTCTTCTCCCAGAGAGTTGTGAGTCTTTGGAACTCCACGCCATAGGCATCTCTGAGGGTAGAGCCCTTGTGTATATCTAAGGCTGAGATAGACAGATTCTGGATCGGTCAAGGAATCAAAAGTTGCTGGAAAAGGCAGGTAAGTGAACGTGAGGAATGTCCATCAGCCATGTTCCTATTGAATGGCGGAACTTGCTGGAAGGGCCGAACGGCCTACTTCTGTGTCTATTTCTGATGGTTTTACCATTTCTGCTAATTCCACTAACTTTCAATTTGCAGCTACTCATTCCGGTCTCTTGAGTAGCCCAGTGGGCTTCCACTGTTGACCTTGACTCCAGTTGCCTAGACACATCCCCCGACCCTTTCCCCCGCCCACCCCCCAACCAAGCCGCCTCTCTGCCCCATTTTCTTTTACAATGTTCTTTAAAACCTACACTTTAGATATGTTCATGTGGCTGGTGTCAAATACTGTCGGACTACACCTACTGTTAAGCGCCTTGGGGAGTTCCATTATGTGGCTACGTAAACGCAGATGGACTATTGTTGCTCAGCAGCATCTGCGATTATGGAATCAGAACGTTTTAGATTACAAATCAAGCAACAAATCCAACAGCTGCGCTTAAAATCACACAAAAAAGTAGAGATCCATAACTATACATTGGATATTTGTACTGTGCTCCATTCTAATCGATTATAAATCGATTAAGATCCGGTAAATTGCGCTAAGATTGGGAACCCAGTCATCTGAACCACTCTCCATCTACCAAAATAGCAAATCATAATCCTGAAGCGCGTGAAAACTATTTTCGCATTCCTTGTGCTAAATCCTTCCAACAACACTGACAGAATGAAGCAAATGACCACACAAATATACTCAGGGCCAGTGACAGATTATGGAGCTATTGGAGTCGACGGGGTAAGTTTGGCTAAACCTTAACGTGTAAGGAATTTCGCCCAGGAACACACGGTGAGGATTTAATGCCTTTATCACACGCTCTATGAACTATGTTGAGACTGTCACGTGGCTCACAGAAAGCCCATGCAAGCTTGCAAATGTTGATTTACTGACTAGAGGAATAGGAAGGCTGACGTTTCGGGCCTGGACCCATTTCTGAAGAAGGGTCTAGGCCCGAAACGTCAGCCTTCCTGCTCGGCCTGCTGTGTTCATCCAGCTCTACACCTTGTTGTCTCAGATTCTCCAGCATCTGCAGTTCCTACTATCACTTGATTTACTGACTATTGTTTATTGACTCAGTGAAAGTTCATAACGGCTTCTGTTAGTAAACACTATAAAACTCGCTGATCATTGGAACATTGCGTTCTCGAAACGCTTTACTTTAAGTGTTAACATTACATTAATTTACTGCAAGAAAGTCAACTTCCCAAATCAGTCTACTTACAAGCAGAAAATAAACTAAGCTTTCGAGTAAAAACTAAAGTTTTTTTCGAGTAAAAACTAAACTAAGCTATCCACCTTCTATCCGCCTCCCCCTCTCTCCCTATTTATTTCAGAACCCCCTTCCCCTTCCCCATTTCTGAAGAAGGGTCTAGGCCCGAAACGTCAGCCTTCCTGCTCCGCTGATGCTGCTTGGCCTGCTGTGTTCATCCAGCTCTACACCTTGTTATCTCAGATTCTCCAGCATCTGCAGTTCCTGCTATCTCTAAGCTTTCGAGTGTACAGTTCAGTGGCAATTGAACAAAAATATTTTCTAATTAGATTGAAGTGGTAAATAAACAGATATATCCTTTAAGGCTGGCTGGAGCTGATGCTGTACATGATTGAACTGAAAAAGTCTATCTCTAAACTTGTTATAGTGAAATTAATTTATTGTCATTAAGCTACTTGTAATAATACCTTTTCCACAATAAAACCCATTTTGTTTTAGTGCTCTCTTAAGCAGCCACCCATTCCATACACAGATCACGAAGATGGCCATTGGTTTAGATGTTGTTACAGTAGGAGGCTTACAATTAGACTCAGTAACCATGAACTGCTATTTCAAAGGGTAACATTAATTCTATTAAGAGACTGTAAGAACTGCAGATGCTGGAGTCAGGGATAACACAGTGTGGAGCTAGAGGAACTCAGAAGGCCAGGCAGCATCAGAGAAGCAGGAAAGTTTATGTTTACCGACCCGAAACATCAACTTACTTGCTCCTTTGATGCGGCCTGGCCTGCTGTGTTCCTCCAGCTCCACATTGTGTTATCTCTAACGTTAATTCTATTCTCTTCAACCATTTCTATTAAACAAAGAGAGTCATAAAGTCTTTTTAAGGAAGGAAATCTGCCATCTTTCCCTGGTTTGGTCTACACATGTCTGCAGATACAAAGAAATGTGATTAACTCTTAACTGCTGTCTGAAAAGATCAAGTAAGAAGGTTGGGCCATCTTGCAGAGGGCTTGTGATACCTCTTCAGGGTTTTGAGATACCTGCTGTAGTTAGCCATTGGCTCTGAGCCACAAAGGAAGGTGAGTATCATACTGCTGTGTAGACCATGAGCCTGGTGCAGGGTTTGTCTTTATTCCTCAGATGACCAAAAACTGCACTCGTACAATGAATGTGGTGTTGAACCTCACAGTCAACGTCTACCCTTGTTGGCAGGAGGCTCGACAGGTATGAACATTAGGTAACAGATCAAACTCCGCCAAAGTATTTTAAGAAGATAGCTTGGTCCCCAAACTTTTGTTATATTTAAAGGTGTTGTGTTCTGGATGCAATTTGATTGGTCAATCTACCAGGCTTGAATCAGAACACATTATCTCTTACACTATAGTTAAAATACAAACAAAAGAAAGAAGAATTGGAATAACTTAGCTGTATAGGAAAACTTAGCAGAATAATACATTACTTAAGTACTCAACAGCAACAGTTCCAAAATAGTAACATCCCATAAACACATCCTTGGCAAAGGCAAATTCATAAAATCGATTGTCTGACATGCAATTCTCAAGTCCAGGAAGAAAGTACATGAAGAGAAAACTCTGAAAGAGAGAGAGAGAACTCCAGCATTTTGCTGGAGTAGGGAGAGATGTATAGCAGCTTCCAAAACTCAACAGCTATTGAAAACTGAACTAAAACCCTGGTTCTGTGGGAGCTTGACTCCACCCTTACATGCTACTTCTATTATTCCAAAATAAAACAACTCAAGCGTAGTCTGATACCTAACATCCATATCCGGCACTCACAAGCTGTCTATATTATTGGCTTGGAACAGATCGCTTGTCACCTTTATCTCAACATCTCTTCATAAAACAAACCAGGACAAAATCTACCTCTTAAACCCATAGTATTGTCACATGAAGAAGGCCATGCCAGGTGTGGTGGGGCTGGAGGGGAGTGTGGAGTGGACAAGGGAGTCACGGAGAGAGTGGTCCCTCCGGAAAGCAGATAAGGTTGGGGAGGGAAAGATGTCTTTGGTGGTGGGGTCGGATTGCAGATGGCGGAAGTGTCAG